ATTCTATTTCTTTCACATTAAGTACTGTACTAGTAAATATGTGAAATGACAAACTCACTTTGAAGGTTGGCTTTCATACACATCAGTATTAAGTTTAGATCAAAAGTTACCTCAAGGTGCATTTACTGTTGACATGACTCGATCAAACAGATTAGAGGAAGGAAGAGAAAAGATCGAACTGACAAAGAACTAATGAAGATGGTACAAAGGTGGGCGCCAAGATCCCTCTGGGATCTCTTGTTTTAGGTCCCGAGTGAGTCCTGCTTCACTCAAACTGAACCCCATTACTCCCACTGAACTCCTTTATTTCCACTGAATCCCTTCACTCCAACTGAACCCCTTTACTCCCACTGAACTCATTAACTCTCACTGAACCCCAATACTCCCACTGAACTCCTTTACTCCCACTGAACCCCTTTACTCTCACTGAACCCCTTTACTCCCACTGAATCCCCTTTACTCTCACTGAATCCCTTTACTCCCACTGAATCCCTTAACCCCACTGAACTCCTTTACTCTCACTGAACCCCTTTAATCTCACTGAATCCCTTAACCCCACTGAACTCCTTTACTCCCACTGAACCCCTTTACTCTCACTGAATCCCTTTACTCCCACTGAACTCCTTTACTCCCACTGAACCCCTTTACTCCCAATTAAACCGTTTACTCCAACTGAACCCCTCTACTCCCTGTTAACCAATTAATTCCTATCTCCCGGGAGTTGCTGTTACTGATTTGCAGTGATTTGAATCTGTAGTGTTGTATATTCTTTATATTTTTAAGGATGGTAATGGTGCCTACCTGATTGACAGAGATCCAACATACTTTGGTCCAGTTTTGAATTATCTACGGCATGGAAAGCTAGTCATGAATAGAGACCTAGCTGAGGAAGGTAACACACACACACAACCTTCAAGATTACATATCTATCATTGGCATATCACACACATATCACACAGACATTACACATTGGCATATCACACATACATTACACATTGGCATATCACACAGATATCACACAGACATTACACATTGGCATATCCCACAGATATCACACATACATAACACAGGCCTCACACATTGGTATATACAGATATCACACATTGGCATATCACACAGATATCACACAGATATCACACATACATAACACAGACCTCACACATTGGTATATCACACAGATATCACACAGACATTACGCATTGGCATATCACACAGATATCACATAGACATTACACATTGGCATATCACACAGATATCACACAGACATTACACATTGGCATATCAAACTATCACACAGACATCACACATTGGCATATCAAACAGATATCACACAGACATAACACAGACCTCACACAGACATCACACATTGATATATCACACAGACATCACACATTTGCATATCACCTGATATCACACCTACATCGAACATTGACATATCACAAAGATATCACACAGACATCACACATTGGCATACCACCTGATATCACACAGACCTCAAACATTGATATATCAAACTATCACACAGACATCACACATTGGTATATCACACTTTCATACAGACATCACACTATCACACAGACATCACACTATCACAAAAATATCACACATTGGCATACCACCTGATATCACACAGACATCACACATTGGTATATCAAACTATCACACAGACATCACATATTGGTATATCACCCAGACATCACACATTGGTATATCATACTATCACACTGACATCACACATTGGCATATCACACATATATCACACAGGCATTACACAGACCTCATACATTGGTATATCAAACTATCACACAGACATCACACATTGGCATATCACACCATGGTATATCACACTATCACACAGACGTCACACATTGGTATATCACACAACCATCACACATTGGTATATCACCCAGACATCACACATTGGTATATCATACTTTCAAACTGACATCACACATGGGCATATCACACAGATATCACACAGACATTACACATACCTCACACATTGGTATATCACACATACATCACACTATCACACTATCACCCAGACATCACACTATCACACAGACATCACACATTGGTATATCACCCAGACATCACACATTGGTATATCACACAGACATCACACATTGGTATATCATACTATCACACTGACATCACACATTGTTATATCACACTACCACACTATCTCACATACATCACACATTGGTACATCTCACAGGCAATACACAGACCTCACACATTGGTATATCACACTATCACACAAGACATCACACATTGGTATATCACTTTCACACACACATCACAGATTTGCATTTCACACAGACATCACACATTGGTATATCACACTTTCACACACACATCACACATAGGCATATTACACAGACATCACACTATCACACAGACATGACACACACATACATCACACATTGGTAAATCACACTATCACACATTGGTATATCACACTATCACACAGACATCACACATTGGTATATCAAACTATCACCCAGACATCACATATTGGTATATCACACAGACATCACACATTGGTATATCAAACTATCACACAGACATCACATATTGGTATATCATCCAGACATCACACATTGGTATATCATACTATCACACTGACATCACACATTGGCATATCACACATATCACACAGGCATTACACAGACCTCATACATTGGTATATCAAACTATCACCCAGACATCACATATTGGTATATCACACAGACATCACACATTGGTATATCAAACTATCACACAGACATCACACATTGGTATATCACCCAGACATCACACATTGATATATCATACTATCACACTGACATCACACATTGGCATATCACACAGATATCACACAGACATTACACAGACCTCACACATTGGTATATCACGCTATCACACAGACATCACACTATCACCCAGACATCACACTATCACACAAATATGACACATTGGTATATCACCCAGACATCACACATTGGTATATCACACAGACATCACACATTGGTATTTCATACTATCACACTGACATCACACATTGTTATATCACACTACCACACTATCTCACATACATCACACATTGGTACATCTCACAGACATCACACAGGCATTACACAGACCTCACACATTGGTATATCACACTATCACACAAGACATCACACATTGGTATATCACTTTCACACAAACATCACAGATTTGCATTTCACACAGACATCACACATTGGTATATCACACTTTCACACAGACATCACACATAGGCATATCACACAGACATCACACTATCACACAGACATGACACACACATACATCACACATTGGTATATCACACAGACATCACACATTGGTATATAATACTATCACACAGACATCACACATTGGTATATCACACTATCACACCACATCACACATCAGCATATCACACAGATATCACACAGACATTACACATTGGCATATCACACAGATATCACACAGACATTACACAGACCTCACACATTGGTATATCACAAAGACATCACACTACCACACATTCATCACTCATAGGTGTATCACACCATCCCACATTGGTATATCACACTATCACACTGACCACACCCATCGGTATATCACACAGAGGTATATCAATATCACACAGATATCACACAGACCTCACACATTGGTATATCACAAAGACATCACACTATCACACATTCATCACTCATAGGTGTATCACACTATCACACATTGGTATATCACACTATCACACTGACCACACCCATCGGTATATCACACAGAGGTATATCACACTATCACACTGACATCACACATTGGCATATCACAGATATATCACACATACATCATATATTGGTATATCAAATATCACACAGACCTCACACATTCACACAGACATCATACTATCACACAGACATCACGCTGGTGTATCACACAGACATCACACTGGTGTATCCCACAGACATCACACATTGGTATATCACACAGACCTCACACATTGGTATATTACACTATCACACAGACATCATACTATCACACAGACATCACACTGGTGTATCACACAGACATCACACATTGGTATATCACACAGACCTCATACATTGGTATATCACACAGACCTCACACATTGGTATATTACACTATCACACAGACATCATACTATCACACATATATCACTCATTGGTGTATCACACATACATAACATTGGTATATCACACAAACATCACACATTGGTATATCACACATACATCACACATTGGTATATCACACTATCACACCGACTGCACTCATCGGTATATCACACAGAGGTATATCACACTGACTTCACGCATTGGCATATCACAGAGATATCACACATACATCATATACTGGTATATCAAACAGACATCACATATTGGTATATCACACAGACATCCCACATTGGTATATCACACAGACATCACACATTGATATATCACACTTTCACACCGACATATCACATTCTCACACAGACATCACACATTGGTATATCACACAGACATCACACATTGATATATCACACAGACCTCACACATTGGTATATCACACTATCACACAGACATCATACTATCACACAGACATCACACTGGTGTATCACACATACATCACACATTGGTATATCACACAGACATCACACCTTGGTATATCACACAGACATCATACATTGGTATATCACACAGACCTCACACATTGGTATATCACAAAGACATCACACTATCACACATTCATCACTCATATGTGTATCACACTATCGCACATTGGTATATCACACTATCACACTGACCACACCCATCGGTATATCACACAGAGGTATATCACACTATCACACTGACATCACACATTGGCATATCACAGAGATATCATACATACATCATATATTGGTATATCAAACAGACATCACATATTGGTATATCACACAGACATCACACATTGGTATTTCACACAGACATCACACATTGGTATTTCACACAGACATCACACATTGGTATTTCACACAGACATCACACATTGGTATATCACACAGACCTCACACATTGGTATTTCACACAGACATCACACATTGGTATATCACACAGACATCATACTATCACACAGACATCACACTGGTGTATCACACAGACATCACACATTGGTATATCACACAGACATCACACCTTGGTATATCACACAGACCTCATACATTGGTATATCACACAGACTTCACACATTGGTATATCACACAGACATCACACTATCACACATACATCACTCATTGGTGTATCACACATACATAACATTGGTATATCACACAAACATCACACATTGGTATATAACACATACATCACACATTGGTATATCACACTATCACACCGACCGCACTCATCGGTATATCACACAGAGGTATATCACACTATCACACTGACATCACGCATTGGCATATCACAGAGATATCACACATACATCATATACTGGTATATCAAACAGACATCACATATTGGTATATCACACAGAGGTATATCACACTATCATATTGGTATATTACACAGACATCACACATTGGCATATCACACAGACATCACACATTGATATATCACACTTTCACACTGACATATCACATTCTCACACTGACATCACACATTGGTATATCACACAGACATCACACATTGGCATATCACACCATGGTATATCACACTATCACACAGACATCACACATTGGTATATCACACTATCATATTAGTATATCACACAGACATCACGCATTTGTATGTCACACTATCACACCGACAGCACACATTGGTATATTACACAGACATCACATGTTGGTATGTCAATCAGACATCACACATTGGTATATCACACAGACATCACACATTGGTATATCACACTGTCATATTGGTATATTACACAGACATTACACATTGGCATATCACACAGACATCACACAGACATCGCACATAGACATATCACACATATCACACATTGACATATCACACATATCGCACAAATCACACAGACATCACATAGACATATCATATAGACATCACACTGATATCACAGATGGCTACCAGGTAGGTGAAATTGTTTCAGAATTATTACTTTAAAAATATATTTCAGGAATCCTAGAAGAAGCTGAATTCTACAACATCACAGATTTGATCAAGTTGGTGAAGGAGAAGATTGTGGTGAGAAACGCTAAGCAGAATCAGGTATGAAGAATACAAATAAGGAATATTGCAACACGACTTTGTATTCATTTATGAGTTTCAAGAAAAACAAACCTGGTAGGCTTCAGCCTATTGACACATCTTCTGAAGAAAGTAGACTGATTAGTACTGCTGGAATTGTAACATGACACCCCTTACTGTAAAAGAGCAATATTACCACCAAATTTAAAATATTTATTTTGCGTCCATGAAATTGTTGTAAAATCACTAATGAGAATGAAACTTGTGTCAAATGTGATCTAGTAAAGGCCTACTTAGTCGTTTATTTGTACCATTTGGTAGACTATATTAACTTGTTATGGTGATGACTCATGGTTCCTATATTTACACCTCACATTTGAGGTCACCTGAGACGGTGTCTCGTGTAACCTTTGCAATCACCTTTTTTCTATTGTCATGCATTATCTGTATGTAAACAATTCACATTTAGGACTTCTTCTCCAAAACCTCAGAGTTGATTTCAATGAACTGTTGCCGGAGCTTCTATGGCCAAAGATAAACAAAAAATGTCAATTTAATGGTTCCTGCCTCTCGGGCCTGATGAAGGGTAGAGCAAAAAGGGATCAGAATGGCTAAATTTTCAACAATATTCTAAAATGCTTAATAAAATTTGTGATTGATATAACACAAGTGTCTGAAGTTAACACAAGTTTTAGTACAGACATGACATCAGAATATACACAGACATGACATCAGAATATACACAGACATGACATCAGAATATACAGACATGACATCAGAATATACACAGACATCAGAATATACACAGACATGACATCAGACTATACACAGACATACCATCAGAATATACACAGACATGACATCAGAATATACACAGACATGACATCAGAATATACACAGACATGACATCAGAATATACACAGACATGACATCAGAATATACACAGACATGACATCAGAATATACACAGACATGACATCAGAATATACACAGACATGACATCAGAATATACACAGACATGACATCAGAATATACACAGACATGACATCAGAATATACACAGACATGACATCAGAATATACACAGACATGACATCAGAATATACACAGACATGACATCAGAATATACACAGACATGACATCAGAATATACACAGACATGACATCAGAATATACACAGACATGACATCAGAATATACACAGACATGACATCAGAATATACACAGACATGACATCAGAATATACACAGACATGACATCAGAATATACACAGACATGACATCAGAATATACACAGACATGACATCAGAATATACACAGACATGACATCAGAATATACACAGACATGACATCAGAATATACACAGACATGACATCAGAATATACACAGACATGACATCAGAATATACACAGACATGACATCAGAATATACACAGACATGACATCAGAATATACACAGACATGACATCAGAATATACACAGACATGACATCAGAATATACACAGACATGACATCAGAATATACACAGACATGACATCAGAATATACACAGACATGACATCAGAATATACACAGACATGACATCAGAATATACACAGACATGACATCAGAATATACACAGACATGACATCAGAATATACACAGACATGACATCAGAATATACACAGACATGACATCAGAATATACACAGACATGACATCAGAATATACACAGACATGACATCAGAATATACACAGACATGACATCAGAATATACACAGACATGACATCATAATATACACAGACATGACATCAGAATATACACAGATATGACAACAGAATATACACAGACATGACATCAGATTATACAGACATGACATCAGAATATACACAGACATGACATCAGAATATACACAGACATGACATCAGAATATACACAGACATGACACCATGGCATTGTTCCTTGGAGATGATAGCCTTGGAATCCAAATTGCAGTTGCAACATTTAAGACCTCACAATGGTTACAGAGAATTCGTGAATATTCACATATATTCTTAGTAATCTGATAAACAGTATCTTGAATTTATTTCCATTTCATATTATTTATGAAAAGTAAAAACTTTTGGAATCAATTCATAAATCTCATATGAATTAGAAACTTGTCAAAGATCCGATATTTTATATTTTTTCAGCTTTTTGTTTTTGTGGTACATTTAAAAATTGCAAAACATTCTTCAAAATTAGACTGATGTGATCTCATGTGAATGATGTCTGTTCAAGGTGGCATATACATGTAATTAGGAAATAATTACCATTGTTCACCGAGTGTGCCTGTCTAATTGTGTATAAATCTGTGTTACAGTCATTCACTAAAAGTGTCTACCGTGTTCTACAATGCTCAGAGGAGGAGCTAACACAAATTGTGTCTGCAATGTCCGATGGATGGAAGTTTGAGCAAGTAAGTGCTGTCATCCTATTGTATATATTACTTTTTAGCTCAAATGAGAATCTTGTGAGCTATTGTTATCCATTCTTGTCAACTTTGCATCGTTTGCTCTCCGGGCATGAAGTGCCAGTTAAGCTTATGGTATTGTGTGTTGTCCGTCGTCTCTTCGTCATCCGGCATCAGTCGTCTGTCAACTTTTTATTTGAACGGTGTCTTCTTACAAACTTGAAGACCTAGGGCCATGATATTTTGCCATTTGGTATCTGGGACAAAGTGCTTTCAAGTTTCCTCAAATAAATGACCTTGACCGACTTTCAAGATTACATCGATAAAATATTTGAGAACCTTTGAAACCTTCTTCTGAATAACCAGGAGGCCCAGAGATGATACTTGGCCAGGAGGTACCTTGCATTAAGTGCTATAAACTTTCCTTAAATGATGTCCTTGAACTACTTTCAAAATTACAAGGGGTTTTCGTAAGTCTATTTTTAAACACTAAAATTCAAATTCTACTGAAGCAATTGAGTTGAAGTGTAATAGAAATGATTACTGTATTGTCCAGACCATTTCCTGTTATATTTGTCTGATTTGAAATCCAAAAATGCCACCATTTTATCCATTCTGAAAATCTATCCTGTTTGGATTGTTATTTACATATAAATATTCATAAAGCAGATGTAAATAAGTGTCAAACACATGTAAGTTATGGTTACTGTAAATCATAATCTTATGTAAAGTACTAATATTGTAACTGTGAGTGTGTTTTACACATGTGTTCATATAAACAACTACGATACCTGCTACATATAATTTACTGTAAGTTACTGTCATGATCAACACTGGGATATTTATAAAATAACCGTAAATTACTGTTATACACAACTCACTATTGTAATTTACTGTTGTACACATGTAACTTATAGTTACTGTAAATTACTGTTATACACATGTAAACCTGTGTTTGGGGAAAGAGTTGATCTGCTGTATCCCATTGCATGTCAGAGGGGGCGACTTATGTACAGTACCTTTGTGGTATGTCATTGAGGTAGCACTGTTATGTCTACATCAGATTCACACTTTTGCAAGGATGCAAATACACAAACTTACAATAAAATATTATTATATAAACGTTTAATCTACGATGTGTCTCCTTAAAAAAATTGTAAACTTTTTTGTTTTTGTAATTGATTCTTGACACAAGAATATTTATCTTGTGATATTTTGTGTGTACAGTGAATTGTAACAGTTTAACATAATAACCTATGTTTTTCAGCTTGTGAATATTGGATCCCAATATAATTATGGCAGCGAAGACCATGCTGAGTTTTTGTGTGTTGTATCTAAAGAGTGTCCAAATATTGTCAATGGCCAGGACCCAGAACCAACTGACAGAGCCAAGGTATAACACACATTGTAGTATTTTCCAAGATAAGTTGAAAAGAAAATGGCATTGTGTCTGCTTTATTGACACCACTGAAAATTAAAGCAGTAATTAGAAGCTCATTTATAGATTAATAGATAACCGTAGGACATCAATGTGATGACTTCAGAACAAAATGTGGTTAAATTCATGGTTTTACGTAGGGAGATACATGTTATGTTTTACGTAGGGAGATACATGTTATGTTTTATGTAGGGAGACACATGTTATGTTTTATGTAGGGAGATACATGTTATGTTTTATGTAGGGAGATACATGTTATGTTTTACGTAGGGAGATACATGTTATGTTTTACGTAAGAAGATACATGTTATGTTTTAAGTAGGGAGATATATGTTATGTTTTACGTAGGGAGATACAGGTTTTAAGTAGGGAGATACATGTTATGTTTTACGTAGGGAGATACATGTTATGTTTTATGTAGGGAGATACATGTTTTAAGTAGGGAGATGCATGTTATGTTTTAAGTAGGGAGATACATGTTATGTTTTACGTAGGGAGATACATGTTATGTTTTAAGTAGGGAGATACATGTTATGTTTTACGTAGGGAGATACATGTTATGTTTTACATAGGGAGATACATGTTATGTTTTAAGTAGGGAGATACATGTTATGTTTTATGTAGGGAGATGCATGTTATGTTTTATGTAGGGAGATATTTATTATTTTGTTTCATCTGCAGGTGTTGCAGCAGAAGGGATCAAGAATTTAACTTGGGGAGCACCTTACTTTGGTGAGAGCAGGCTCTATTACTGCTCACAGATATGCTCACAGTGGAAACAGATTGACAGCGCAAAATTACAAGCCAAATGTCAAAAACCAAAAGCATGTCATCAGTATGATCGAGGAACTTTTTTATTTAATATTTTTATGTATTTTTGAAATTTGCATAAGTCTCCTTCAGGACAGGGCTACGTATATACTGTCCATAAGTTTCCTTCACGACAGAGCTACATATATACTGTGCATAAGTCTCCTTCACGACAGAGCTACGTATATACTGTGCATAAGTCTCCTTCACGACAGAGCTACGTATATACTGTGCATAAGTCTCCTTCACAACAGAGCTACGTATATACTGTGCATAAGTCTCCTTCACGACAGAGCTACGTATATACTGTGCATAAGTCTCCTTCACAACAGAGCTACGTATATACTGTGCATAAGTCTCCTTCACAACAGAGCTACGTATATACTGTGCATAAGTCTCCTTCACAACAGAGCTACGTATATACTGTGCATAAGTCTCCTTCACAACAGAGCTACGTATATACTGTGCATAAGTCTCCTTCACAACAGAGCTACGTATATACTGTGCATAAGTCTCCTTCACGACAGAGCTACGTATATACTGTGCATAAGTCTCCTTCACAACAGAGCTACGTATATACTGTGCATAAGTCTCCTTCACAACAGAGCTACGTATATACTGTGCATAAGTCTCCTTCACAACAGAGCTACGTATATACTGTGCATAAGTCTCCTTCACAACAGAGCTACGTATATACTGTGCATAAGTCTCCTTCACAACAGAGCTACGTATATACTGTGCATAAGTCTCCTTCACAACAGAGCTACGTATATACTGTGCATAAGTCTTTGTCACGACAGAGCTACGTATATACTGTGCATAAGTCTTTGTCACAACAGAGCTACGTATATACTGTGCATAAGTCTTTGTCACGACAGAGCTACGTATATACTGTGCATAAGTCTCCTTTATGACAAAGCTACTTATATACTGTGCAGAAAATTTTGCAACAGTAATAAAAATTGTGTATGTTTATGACATCTAATTCTTTCCATATTTCATTCTATAATGTATTGTTTCATAAAGATGAGCCTAATCTTATATCATTGTAACCATTTCAGGGTTAAAGGTTGCTATGGTCATGTTCATGAGGTTAAGATCTTCAGCTGTGGTGGTCTTGAGACATTTATCTGTTTGAAAACCTTCTCAGCTCATCACATCCTGAACTTGACCAAAGCAAGTTTCAGCACTTACATTTGAAGTTTACTTATTATAAAGGAGTGATATGTAAATGGCTGGGAGATCTGTGACAGTGTCTACACATACCTATTTTCATTGTTGATGTGCTTACATTGCCAGGGGTAGCCTTCATTTGATTAAATGTATAGGCAAATTGAAGCATGTTACCATTTGTAGTTTGAGTAGATCTTGATAAAAATAGGGAATAGTATCCTATATCATAAGTAAAATGTAATCATGAGTCAGTCTATGTTGCCATTTCATTGATTTTAGTTGTGCTTCGTGTAAACAAATGTTACACAACTGGTCCAGTGAATTTATTGTTACATATATATTGTTACCTGTTTTTCTGAGATGTGTTACACTGAAGCAAGTGTGAGTGTAGTAGTCTATGTGGGTATCGCTGTAGGCAGTGAGGCGTTTGTCTAGTGTAGTAGTCTATGTGGGTATCGCTGAAGGCAGTGAGGCGTTTGTCCAGTGTAGTAGTCTATGTGGGTATCACTGTAGGCAGTGAGGCAGGTGTCCAGTGTAGTAGATACCAGTCTATGTGGGTATCGCTGTAGGCAGTGAGGCGTGTGTCCAGTGTAGTAGGTACCAGTCTATGTGGGTATCGCTGTAGGCAGCGAGGCGTGTGTCCAGTGTAGTAGTATCCAGTCTATGTGGGTATCGCTGTAGGCAGTGAGGCGTGTGCCCAGTGTAGTAGATACCAGTCTATGTGGGTATGGCTGTAGGCAGTGAGGCGTGTGTCCAGTGTAGTAGATACCAGGCTATGTGGGTATCGCTGTAGGCAGTGAGGCGTGTGTCCAGTGTAGTAGTATCCAGTCAATGTGGGTATCGCTGTAGGCAGTGAGGCGTGTGTCCAGTGTAGTAGATACCAGTCTATGTGGGTATCGCTGTAGGCAGTGAGGCGTGTGTCCAGTGTAGTAGATACCAGTCTATGTGGGTATCGCTGTAGGCAGTGAGGCGTGTGTCCAGTGTAGCAGTCTATGTGGGTATCGCTGTAGGCAGTGAGGCGTGTGCCCAGTGTTGTCCGTCATGTCCTAGCTCATGTTCATATTTTTTTACCTACTGACTCTTGAGAGGAGACATGAAATTACCTTTTCATGTTCAGGTGTAAACAAACAGTCCGATCTGTCCTATATGTAAATACAAACACGGAACATTTATCAGTGCTGAAGGTTCATTGAGACTATTTTATCAGTTTTACAGATACAATGGAAGCTGAAACTTATAATCTGAACACAATTTACTACAGCTATCTTTGATAATAAACTAGGATAGAGACAAGATCAAGCGGCCATGTGGAAAGTTGAACATTTCAGTTTTTAAATTAGCATCGTTGGACCATCAGTATTCTTCCCCTCATCCTCTGATATAATGAAATTCACATAAGCAATACCATATACATATGACCTGAATGTATCTGTTGCAAATACAAAACTTACCTTTGTTTACATACAATGTTTTAAATGGATATTGTAAATGAAAGTGCTGTACAAAATCATCTTTGTGTAATGTCTCCATTATTTTTAACTTTGTTTTCATGTAAAATGTATACAATCCTACAATAGGAATTCTTGAAAGTCACTAACAAAAGTATAGCTGATACTGTCTAACTAGTCAAGTCTCATTAGCCTTCATTACTCATTAGTCAACCCACAGCGATGTAAGGGAGCAGCACTTAATGTGTGGTGGCACCCTATTGAATGCTAATCCAGCGTTAAAGAAAGGTTTAAAGTGAGGTGTTATCCAGACTGAGTTTGTGTCCAAAGCATGATTAGGTTTCTTTGATTTGGGAATTGGTATATTACACAAATAATATATAAATCTCTCAAAAACATAAAAAAAAATTATTTAGGTATATGTATAATTAAAAAAGATTTCATACAGCTAGGGCTTAACATTAATATTGATGAGTTTTTATTATTGACCATGGTCAGAAATAGTCCCACCTTTTTAAGAATACCACCTAAAAAGATGAAATTGTCTTTGATTCACTTACTCTGTTAACCCAGTATAATGTAGATATCATATACCTGGCATTTCATACATCACTAAGATGTCGTCACATGACAGTCTGTTGGGATCAGTCAGCTGTTGTGTGTCAGTTTCACCATTATAAGGAAGTACATCAGTTATAGTTGGTTGTGGTTTTATGTTAACATTGTCATTGTGACTTGCGATTACTTATTTTTGTGTTAAGGTCTTGTGAGTCTTATTTATGAAAGTCATGTGGGCCTTAGTGGTGAGATCAAGGTTTTTCTAATTACTACTTTCACTTGGTAAACTCTACTGAATATTTGTAAAAAAGCTCCTCATGACTAAAATACATGTAGTATCAAATATGATGTACAACATTTGTCCTGTTTGATAAGATGTGTCATAGACACATTTGTCATTAAAATGTATAGGTTGTATTACCAATGGGGGTTCTGCCATGTTGGGGTTGTCTACTGGTCAACATTCATAATGTTACTTTCATCACATTCTGTAGGATTCGCCTGTACGGTGATAGATAAAGCACTAAGTGCCAACTTCTCAGGGCAAACAGCAATTCTAGACGGGGCACATCAAACAAATCACTCCAACTCCTAGCTTCTTTTTATCCATTATACCCTCTTATGTGATCCTGTTTTCAGATCACTTGGTCCAAAGGGCCTAGCAAGCACATGCTGTGGGGCAGTATCTGTCCGTTGTATAATTCTCCTTCAATCCAGGAGAACTGAAGAGATTTTACCCAATTTTGCATTCTTAAGAATAGGGTATTCAACGTTGTTTAAAGGAAGAGTGTGACTCCCTTGGGAGCAGGGAGGCAGAACCCAAAGGGGGAAATCAGGTTAGCCTCTAAAGAACTACTGCTTAAGAAAATTGATTTTGACTTAGTATGGCATGGAACATCCAAGGGCCTTGGCAATTCAGTGTTGTATGAATGAAGGGATGCGGCACCACTCAGGACAAAGACTTAAATGAGGAAATAGGGGTTAATGTTTAAAAGACTACCCCTTAAGTAGGAATGAAACAGTTTGAACTGATTTGGATTGGATTGGATGTATAAATGAGGGGTGTGGCTCCTATTTGGAGCAGAGGGTAAGGGCTGCATAAGGGAAATAGAACATACAAATATTGACCTTTCTTCAAGACTAATAATCAAATGCTGACAAATACTGGAGCAAACGACCATCTCATTAATTACCAGTAGTTCGCCTGGTTGATTCTAAATCTTAAGATTTGGCATCTGATTAGTTGATCTGATTTTTTATCCATCTGATTTTGAAGGAATTTTATACTTTCATACAAATATTCCAATAATGGTCCTTGCCTTTTCAGTCATTAAGTGGTAACGTGTTCAAGTATCCCCATCATTGCTCCTACCAACAAGTTTCAACAACACAAGAAACTTGTGTGTGATACCGGTTCAGTGGGCTTTTTGTTATTGATGTCGACGTGTTGTCACAGAAATCTGTAGGTTTTGTGTTTTCTATTAGAATGTTAAGCATGTAATAGGTGGTTTGTGTAGTGGAAACAATGTACCTACCTTAGAGGAAGGCAAGCGTTGATCAAAACATATGTTTTTGGACCTATTCTGGTAAAGCAGTGAAGTCCAGTTTTATTACGAGTTTATGATTATGACACAAATAATATTATCTGGGTTTAGTGCACTTCTCATGGAGATTATTTTGCTATTTTTGAATTTTCATATGACGTTCAGGAGCCCTTCACAATGAAAACTGCATGCAGGCAATGCAGACCATTAATTTCTCATGTGATCCAGGATTTCTTGGGTTATAATTGTGTAGTAAAATACCAATATTTCTGTCCTAATGTAGAATCTAATCTCATAACACATGGGTGTTTATATAAATTGATATGCATACAATTTTGTCTATATGTAAAGTGATATTTTCATTAAATTTATAAATGTGTATGGTGTTTTGTATTCATTTTTAATCTATATATATATATATATATATGTTATCACTATTACGGGTCTGCATTTATCATATAACTTATAAAGTGAACATTTCTTGAATGTGATACTTCAATATTGCATCCTGGAGACTTGTTATCAACAATGTCATTGTAATTATACCTCAACATCTCAATGTTAGTGAGACCTGGAGACTTGTTATCTATGATGTCATTGTTATCTATAATGTCATTGTATACCTCAACATCTTAATGTTAGTGAGAGCTGGAGACTTGTTATCAACAATGTCATTGTATATACCTCAACATCTCAATGTTAGTGATACCTGGAGGCTTGTTATCTATGATGTCATTGTTATCTATAATTTCATTGTATACCTCAACATCTTAATGTTAGTGAGACCTGGAGACTTGTTATCAACAATGTGATTGTATATACCTCAACATCTCAATGTTAGTGATACCTGGAGACTTGTTATCTATAATGTCATTGTGTACCACAACATCTCAATGTTAGTGAGACCTGGAGACTTGGTATCTATGATGTCATTGTTATCTATAATGTCATTGTATACCTCAACATCTCAATGTTAGTTAAACCTGGAGACTTGTTATCAACAATGTCATTGTGTCCCTCAACCTCTCAATGTTAGTGAGACCTGGAGACTTGTTATCAATATTGTCATTGTGTACCTCAACATCTCCATGTAAGTGAGACCTGGAGACTTGGTATCTATAATTTCATTATATACTTCGACATCTCAATGTTAGTGAGACCTGGAGACTTGTTATCAACAATGTGATTGTATATACCTCAACATCTCAATGTTAGTGATACCTGGAGGCTTGTTATCTATGATGTCATTGTTATCTATAATGTCATTGTATACCTCAACATCTCAATGTTAGTTAAACCTGGAGACTTGTTATCAACAATGTCATTGTGTACCTCAACCTCTCAATGTTACTGAGACCTGGAGACTTGTTATCTATATTGTCATTGTCTACCTCAACCTCTCAATGTTAGTGAGACCTGGAGACTTGTTATCTATATTGTCATTGTGTCCCTCAACCTCTCAATGTTAGTGAGACCTGGAGACTTGTTATCAATATTGTCATTGTGTGCCTCAACATCTCCATGTAAGTGAGACCTGGAGACTTGGTATCTATAATTTCATTATATACTTCGACATCTCAATGTTAGTGAGACCTGGAGACTTGTTATGTATAATGTCATTGTATACCTCAACATCTAAATGTTAGTGAGACCTGGAGTCTTGTCATCTATATTGTCATTGTATATACCTCAACATCTCAATGTTAGTGATACCTGGAGGCTTGTTATCTATGATGTCATTGTTATCTATAATGTCATTGCATAATTCAACATCTCAATGTTAGCGAGACCTTGAGACTTGTTATCTGTAATGTCATTGTGTACCTCAACATCTCAATGTTAATGAGACCTGGAGACTTGTTATCAATATTGTCATTGTGTACCTCAACATCTCCATGTAAGTGAGAACTGGAGACTTGGTATCTATAATGTCATTATATACTTCGACATCTCAATGTTAGTGAGACCTGGAGACTTGTTATCTATATTGTCATTGTCTACCTCAACCTCTCAATGTTAGTGAGACCTGGAGACTTGTTATCTATGATGTCATTGTTATCTATAATGTCATTGCATAATTCAACATCTCAATGTTAGCGAGACCTTGAGACTTGTTATCTGTAATGTCATTGTGTACCTCAACATCTCAATGTTAGTGAGACCTGGAGACTTGTTATCAATATTGTCATTGTGTACCTCAACATCTCCATGTAAGTGAGACCTGGAGACTTGGTATCTATAATGTCATTATATACTTCGACATCTCAATGTTAGTGAGACCTGGAGACTTGTTATCTATGATGTCATTGTTATCTATAATGTCATTGCATACTTCAACATCTCAATGTTTGTGAGACCTGGAGACTTGTTATCTATAATGTCATTGTGTACCTCAACATCTTAATGTTAGTGAGACCTGGAGACTTGTTATCTATAATGTCATTGTATACCTCAACATCTCAATGTTAGTGAGACCTGGAGACTTGTTATCTATAATGTCATTGTATACCTCAACATCTCAATGTTAGTGAGACCTGGAGACTTGTTATCTATAATGTCATTGTATACCTCAACATCTCAATGTTAGTGAGACCTGGAGACTTGTTATCTATAATGTCATTGTATACCTCAACATCTCAATGTTAGTGAGACCTGGAGACTTGTTATCTATAATGTCATTGTATACCTCAACATCTCAATGTTAGTGAGACCTGGAGACTTGTTATCTATAATGTCATTGTATACCTCAACATCTCAATGTTAGTGAGACCTGGAGACTTGTTATCTATAATGTCATTGTATACCTCAACATCTCAATGTTAGTGAGACCTGGAGACTTGTTATCTATAATGTCATTGTATACCTCAACATCTCAATGTTAGTGAGACCTGGAGACTTGTTATCTATAATGTCATTGTATACCTCAACATCTCAATGTTAGTGAGACCTGGAGACTTGTTATCTATAATGTCATTGTATACCTCAACATCTCAATGTTAGTGAGACCTGGAGACTTGTTATCTATAATGTCATTGTATACCTCAACATCTCAATGTTAGTGAGACCTGGAGACTTGTTATCTATAATGTCATTGTATACCTCAACATCTCAATGTTAGTGAGACCTGGAGACTTGTTATCTATAATGTCATTGTATACCTCAACATCTCAATGTTAGTGAGACCTGGAGACTTGTTATCTATAATGTCATTGTATACCTCAACATCTCAATGTTAGTGAGACCTGGAGACTTGTTATCTATAATGTCATTGTATACCTCAACATCTCAATGTTAGTGAGACCTGGAGACTTGTTATCTATAATGTCATTGTATACCTCAACATCTCAATGTTAGTGAGACCTGGAGACTTGTTATCTATAATGTCATTGTATACCTCAACATCTCAATGTTAGTGAGACCTGGAGACTTGTTATCTATAATGTCATTGTATACCTCAACATCTCAATGTTAGTGAGACCTGGAGACTTGTTATCTATAATGTCATTGTATACCTCAACATCTCAATGTTAGTGAGACCTGGAGACTTGTTATCTATAATGTCATTGTATACCTCAACATCTCAATGTTAGTGAGACCTGGAGACTTGTTATCTATAATGTCATTGTATACCTCAACATCTCAATGTTAGTGAGACCTGGAGACTTGTTATCTATAATGTCATTGTATACCTCAACATCTCAATGTTAGTGAGACCTGGAGACTTGTTATCTATAATGTCATTGTATACCTCAACATCTCAATGTTAGTGAGACCTGGAGACTTGTTATCTATAATGTCATTGTATACCTCAACATCTCAATGTTAGTGAGACCTGGAGACTTGTTATCTATAATGTCATTGTATACCTCAACATCTCAATGTTAGTGAGACCTGGAGACTTGTTATCTATAATGTCATTGTATACCTCAACATCTCAATGTTAGTGAGACCTGGAGACTTGTTATCTATAATGTCATTGTATACCTCAACATCTCAATGTTAGTGAGACCTGGAGACTTGTTATCTATAATGTCATTGTATACCTCAACATCTCAATGTTAGTGAGACCTGGAGACTTGTTATCTATAATGTCATTGTGTACCTCAACATCTCAATGTTAGTGAGACCTGGAGACTTGTTATCTATAATGTCATTGTATATACCTCAACATCTCAATGTTAGTGAGACCTGGAGACTTGTTATCTATAATGTCATTGTATACCTCAACATCTCAATGTTAGTGAGACCTGGAGACTTGTTATCTATAATGTCATTGTATACCTCAACATCTCAATGTTAGTGAGACCTGGAGACTTGTTATCTATAATGTCATTGTATACCTCAACATCTCAATGTTAGTGAGACCTGGAGACTTGTTATCTATAATGTCATTGTATACCTCAACATCTCAATGTTAGTGAGACCTGGAGACTTGTTATCTATAATGTCATTGTATACCTCAACATCTCAATGTTAGTGAGACCTGGAGACTTGTTATCTATAATGTCATTGTATACCTCAACATCTCAATGTTAGTGAGACCTGGAGACTTGTTATCTATAATGTCATTGTATACCTCAACATCTCAATGTTAGTGAGACCTGGAGACTTGTTATCTATAATGTCATTGTATACCTCAACATCTCAATGTTAGTGAGACCTGGAGACTTGTTATCTATAATGTCATTGTATACCTCAACATCTCAATGTTAGTGAGACCTGGAGACTTGTTATCTATAATGTCATTGTATACCTCAACATCTCAATGTTAGTGAGACCTGGAGACTTGTTATCTATAATGTCATTGTATACCTCAACATCTCAATGTTAGTGAGACCTGGAGACTTGTTATCTATAATGTCATTGTATACCTCAACATCTCAATGTTAGTGAGACCTGGAGACTTGTTATCTATAATGTCATTGTATACCTCAACATCTCAATGTTAGTGAGACCTGGAGACTTGTTATCTATAATGTCATTGTATACCTCAACATCTCAATGTTAGTGAGACCTGGAGACTTGTTATCTATAATGTCATTGTATACCTCAACATCTCAATGTTAGTGAGACCTGGAGACTTGTTATGTATAATGTCATTGTGTATCTCAACATCTCAATGTTAGTAAGACCTGGAGATTTGTTATCAACAATGTCATTGTATATACCTCAACATCTCAATGTTAGTGAGACCTGGAGACTTGTTATCTATAATGTCATTGTGTACCTCAACATCTCAATGTTAATGAGACCTGGAGAGTTGT